GCAGTCTTGGTCTTGCAGATTTGAGATTAAAAGACCGCAAAAAGACCGGTTAACATGGACCGGTCTGGTTGATTAATACTGGTCTTTTGTACCTACATAATAACCCTTCAAAACACACCTAAGATCATATTTTTAGGCCAAAAACTGACAAAGATACATATAAAATAGTAAAATATTTCGTGAAAATAGTAGATGTACCTTGGTATTTTTGTAGATACATCAATTCTAAACGGAATTTAATGTTCTTGCACTCGTTTTGAAGCTACGGAGAATCTCAATAAATTTACTGACTCACAATTGCAAATATTATTGCATATTAAGTTGAAAAACCGGTCTTGAACCGGTTGTAACCAGTTTGGACCAAGACTGGTCCAAAGACCGAAAAAGACCGCAGTCTTGCAAAAGACCAGTCCTGGTCCGGTATTTTGAGGTTTTAGGAATTGTGTGGACCGGTCTGGGTCTGGGTCTTTTCGTTTTGGGCCAAAAAACCAGACTGGACTGGACTTTCAAGCACTAGATGGATGAGCCCTTTCACATGAAGTAGTAAGCCTGCCACGAAGTGCGCGAGCAGCAGCTACCCTCCATGCTAAGGTTCCTCCTGTGATGAGCTGGCACATTCCCACAACTCTCCAGCTCTCCCTCTACCAAGAGATGCAGACTTCAACCATGCTTTGGTGAAGTCCGCGGTGCCCCCACCATTGTGAAGCGTTCACTCTGAACTTCTTGCATAGCTGAAGCCAAGAGGGAACACTTCAGTCACCCACTGCCAACTGACTATTAGTCATGCAAACTACACATAAGTTACATGACTAAATATCATGGACCATATCTATATTCTAGATATATATGGGTCCTAGAAAGCCCTGAAATCTAAAATATATTCTTGAGACGTGGACCCTGAAATGTCACACAAAAATTATAATGTCTGTGTCACACCACTAAAATATATTTTGCAAGTGAAAAGCAGTAAGGATATATTTTTGGTGAGTGGACCCTGAAATGTCACTGTCACACCTTAGAAATATATTTTTGCCCTGGCTTGGCCTTAGGATATATTTTGGGAGACAGATGTGGTAAGGATATATTTTTTGGGTCTGTAGGGGTGTCAGGGGTCCTAGTTTCACCAAAAAAACTTGGAT